GTAAGAAATGAGAATTGGTGGACTTGGAAAAATATGGAAAAATTTGGACTTATGAAGGAAGAAGTTATCCACCCTCAGAGAAACAGAGGATAAATAAGTATAGTATGGTCTTATATAGATGCATATGAATGTATATGTCTATATGACTGATTATTGATATCTAGGTATGTGTATATATAAGTAAGGATTTGTATGTACAGGAATACATGTTTATATACATATATATCTTTGTGTGTATATGTCTATATAGGCATGTACTTATCTGTGTATACACACACATATATATGTGCTTAATCGTAGCCTCCTGGGGTAGGGAGAGAGAAAGGGGGGAAAAGAACAAAGTAAAAAGTGCACAGCAGAGAACAAAAGAAAACTTACAAGGAAGCAAAGAAAAGATGGACAGCTCTCAACACAATGCATAGTATGTATTATATAGGCTTTCTTGAAATGGAAATTTACTGCTATGTATTTTGAATCCTCTCTCATGTTCTGCTGTGCACATAGCAATGCTTTTTGTCCCCTTATTTTGTATTATTTTAGTTTTACTATTTGTTCCTTTTTTCTTTTCTTATTTTGTACTAAGTTTAAAATTTTAAAAATTACAAATAAAAAAATAAAAGGGAAAAGAAGAAACAAAATACAGAAACAAACAAACAAACAGAAAAAAAAACCAGTGATTCAAATTAATTGTCATATGGAGGGAGGCACATTGGCTGCTACATAAGAGAGCTCCAAAATCTTAAATGTTAAAAGTAACCAGCCAGTCTCCTGCCCCACTTCTGCCAAGAATCAAAATCTCCCTTGGGGAGGAATGGGCAGAAGAGACTATAAAGATATCCAGATAGTCACACCTCCTTTTGAGTGACATCTAGATAGACCCATGTGGATGTACATAACCTATGGGATAGCACACACACACACACACAAACAACTTGCAAAGTTGTACTAAAGAGGAATATTCTCTACAACATCCCTGATAAATGGACCTACCCCTCTCTTCTTGAAGACTTCTTGTAACTAGGAACCTCCTGAGCCATAGCCTATTTCACTTCTGTAAAGCTCTAGTTCTTTTTTTTTTTTTTTGGTGAGGCAATTAGGGTTAAGTGACTTGCCCAGGGTCACACAGCTAGTAAGTATTATGTGTCTGAGGCCAGATTTGAACTCAGGTCCTCCTGACTCCAGGGCGGTGTGCTATCCACTGTGCCACCTATTCTTTTAAGAATACTGTTAGGACAGGACAGCTAGCTGGTGCAGTGGATAGCACACTGGTTCTGGATTCAGGAGGACCTGTGTGACCCTGGGCAAGTCACTTAACCCCATTGCCTAGCCCCCCCTCCCAAAAGAAAAAAAAAAGGAATACTGTTAGAAGTATTGATATTTAAAATGATGGGAGGCAGTCACTGAATGCAAAGGACAAGAAAAGACTTCTATGTCAGAACAAAAGGGATGATCAAAGAAACAAGGGTAGTGAAGGTACCGAAAACCATGTCATATGAGGCTAATTTGAAGGGATTGGAGATGTTTCACGTGGTAAAAAGAAGGTAAGACATGGAGGGTGGGAGTGGGGATGGTATAACAGTTTTCTCAAAGACTTGAGGAGCTGTTATATGGAAGACGAATCAGTCTTCTATTTGGCCCAAGAAGGTAAAAACATGAGCAATGGTTGAAAATTGCAAAGAAAATTATTTAGGTTTGATATAAGGAAAAAATTTCTGACAATTAGAGGTTTCCAAAAATTGGATAGACTACCTCATGATGTAGTGGTTTACCTTTCACTGCAGGTCTTTAGGAAGATGCTGAAGCATATTTGTCAGGGCTAACAAAGAGGGCATGCTTGCTTTGATGAGTGTTGAGCTAGATGAACTGGGAGGTACCTTCCAACTCTGAGATTCGGTGTGATTGTTTCTAAGTGTTTTCCTTACATACAGCAAAAATGTCCCTCTCTCCAGCTTCTATCCAATGCTCCTAACTCCTTAGGAGATGAGTGGAAGAGGAGAGTGATAAATCTAATCTAATTCCTCTTCCCCTTTTCCACACATCAACCCTTTACATACTTGAAGATACCTATCCTATCCCTTCCTCAGTCTTCTCTTCTCCCAGATAAAATCCCCATTTCCTTCCAACAATCAATATGTTACAGTCCCATAACTATTTGTTATCAAGGCCTTCTATTCAGGGTAGACAGCAACATAGATGAATCATGCTGCTACCAAGCAACCTGCAAAATTATCAAGGTTAAAAGAATGTAGGAGGCATGTACAAAAATATAAAGCTGCCTGTTCCAGTTTCCAGAAGTCAGTTTACCACACTTTTCTAATCCAAACAATTAATAATGAAAAAAAAACCGAACAAAGATTTTAGATTACTGGGAATCTGGAGATCTTCCTGTGTATGCGTCTTGCTTGAGATAGGTGTTATAATTTTTCCAGTGTGAGAGTCCATGAATTCTCTCCGACTTGGAATTGTCTCAGGGCCCCATGCTGCTTTTTCCTTCTGTATATGTCCATGTGCTCCCAGGGCATGTTTTATAAATGTTCATGTGCTGGAACACAAACTGATTCCAGTTGTACACATCCATGTAGCATCAGGCATTCTGTGGAAGGCTATATGTGGGCAAATGAGAGGAAGTTAGTTTTGCTCAGGATGCAGTGGGAGAAACTGTCATGAGGACTGGTTATGTTAGTGAAAATGTGCTTGATCTCGTTGTTGTGAGACTCCCCCTAGTGAATTTGTGGAGAATACAATCTGAACTGTAAAGAGCCCAGTATAGTCACTCTTCCAGTCCAAGAATCAGAAAATAGAAACATAGAATTTTAAAAGTTGAAAAGGACCTTAGAGGTCCAACTTACTAAGCTCGTAGATTTAGAGTTAGAAGGGACCTCAGAGTTATCTAGCCCTATGGTGTCAAACTCAAATATAAATTGGGACCACTAAACTGTACATAAGGATCCCTGTGGGCTGCATTGGTTTTTAAATGTAATATTTTTATTATATATTTATTACAATATGTTAGTCGTATTTTCATTTATTTTGTTAAATATTTTTCAGTTACATTTTAAATTAGGATATACTTGGGGGTGTTGTGGGTCCTATGTTGGTGGGGGCTGAGTGTTTGACACCTCTGATCTAGCCCAACCCCCTCATTCTATAGAAGAGGAAACGAGGATCATAGAAGTTGTGACTTGTCTGAGATCACATAACTAGTGCAATTAGTAGAGTCACACAGTAAGTGTCAGAGGCAGTAATGGAACATAGGTCTCCCTGATTCCAAGTCTAGCGCTCTATTCACTGTGGGGCAGAGAGAATACTGACCTGTGCCATGAGACAGGAGAAGGGAAGAATGTGATACAGAAAGGGAAGTACCCCTGAGCACTTGCAGCTAGGCACATTGGAGATTCTACCATATGAGTAGAGAACTGAACCCTCTGAGGAGGAAACGTGGAGATTTTCCAAAGAATGATAACACTGATTAGCTGGGATTGCTAGGCACTCCTGAAGTAAAGGCACATGAAATAAAAAAGATGAAGATGAAAAAAATGAGAGGAATAGTAATGGGTGGTGACTCATTGAGGGGTACTGACATCTATTTGTCAACCTAATAACAGTAGTAAAGAGTTCCTCTGTCCTCCTGGACTGTATATCTAGGACATGACAAAGAACCTCCCAAGATTTGTCATACTTTATAATTGCTAGATATTTATGATGTGTCGTATCTGCATAAGTATTCTAGAAAGCACTGCTAAAGATTACAGTCTTGGGCAAGAAACTGAAGACATTAGGAACACAATGATATTCACATCACTGTTGCTAATCAAAGGCAAGGACTTTGGAGGAGAAAAATAGTTTTGTGAAGTTACCCATTGGTATCTAAGAAGATGATTTGGAGTACTGGAATATGTCCTAAATTAAAGGAATTATGGACTTCTGAGTAGGCATATTTATAGATCAGACTCTGAATCTGTTATCCCAAATCCCCATTTGCCCTGGGAAGCTGGGTACCCAGAGGGCAGCTTGCTACTTCTTCCCTCAGAGTTTTAGGGGTAACCCTCAAGGGTTGGGAAGATATTTTTTAATTTAATTTTTTTTCAACTAACAAAACTTTATATTCTCTCCCACCTCTGCCCTTCCCATTGGGGAAACCAACAAAGCCATCGTAGCAAATATGCATAATCAAGAAAAAATTGGCCACATCCAAAAATCTGTCTCATTCTGTACTCTGATTCCATCAGCTCTCTATCAGGGGTTAGGCAGCATACTTCATCATATGTCTTCTAGAATCATGGTTAATCATTACAATCTTACACCATAATTTATTTGGCCACTTTCCAATTAATGAGCATTGGGAGTAACTTTTTAAAAACAAATTTTATTAATAACTTTTGTTTTTACATTGCCAAAATCAGCAAAACCATCAAAAAATTCTGAAAATATACGCAATGTTCTGTACTAGGGGTGAATTTCCAATACGATTGCTCACAACCCTCTAGTAGTTTCCTCCTCCACTATCAGCAGATATTGATTAGAAAGCCAGAATTAATTAGCTTTTATGTAGAGGTATTTACTAGGCAGCTAAGTGTCAAAGTGGATAGAATGTCAGGCCTGGAGTCAGGAACACTTTTATCTTCCCGAGTTCAAATCTGGTCTCAGATACTTACTAGTTGTATGACCTTGGGCTAGTCACTTAACCCTGTTTGCCTCAGTTTCCTCATCTATAAAGTGAGCTAGAGAAGGAAATGCAAAGCACTCCAGCATCTCTGCCAAGAAAACCCCAAATAGGGTCACCAAGAGGCAGACATGACTGAAAAATGATTGAACCGACAGCAAAGAGCATTTTCTAAGGTGATATAGTAAGAACAGTTGATACAAACATTGTCCCCAGAAATCTGGATCATACTCTTCTACAAGTACTTCGTGAAGCTGTGACTGATTCCCACCTCCTTCCATAAGCCAGACATGATCTCTTCCTCTTCTTTACTTTATTTGTTGTGTCTTTATGATAGCCTGCCAAAAAACAGATGAAGATTAGCTGAAAAGGGGAACTGAGACATTAAAGGATTCGTTGGTGCCAGGAGAGGGCAGCAGAAACCTTACTCCAAACAAGACAACTGAGCCTAGTTTTGCTCAGAAGAGGAAGAAAGACAATATGTAAGTACAAGGGAATAAAGTTAGAGTGTGAAAGGAGCTGGAGATCCAACAAAGCCAGTGGGAGCACAAAAAAGAGGGACTCTGGCACAAGTAAGGCAAACCTGAAATCAGAGCACATAGATGAAGAGTTAGTTCAGTGTTGTTGTTCTTGTTTGGCCTTTGTTTTCAAAGAGGACCAGTGACATCACAGAGTGATGTCATGACTTGTGGGTGAATTGGATTTAAGTGAGGCAGAGTTACCCAAACTCCTCAATTTTACACTTTTACAGAGTTATTGAAAAGGGCAGCTAGGGGGCACAGTGGATGGAGCACCAGCCCTGGAGTTAGAAGGACTTGAATTCAATCTGGCCTCGGACACTTACTAGCTGTGTGACTCTGGGCAAGTCACTTAACCTCAATTGCCTCCCAAAAAAGATAAATAAATAAAATCCAAGCAAACAAAAACAGAGTCATTGAAACAAAATGGCAAAACAAAAGTCAATATGACTGGTAATGACCTGGGATGAAGTGGATGACCTTGGCGTCTTTGATGTCTGACCAAGCTCTAAGTGCTCCACAGCACCTGCTTCAGCCAGTTGGTGGCCATTGAAACAAATTGTTCTCATCTGCCATTACACTAGGGAAAGTCTTCACATGCTTGGGGTAAACATCCCCCTAAGTCACCAACAAGTTTAGCCCATCTGCTAAGACAGTTTTACTGAGGTGTGGCCTCTGCACGCAGCACACATTCTTGGAGCCTCAGGTGGGAGTTGAATGAAAGGTGGACACCAAAGGTGGATAAGCAGCCCTGATTCAGCAAGCCCTCGCACCAGAGGTGCTAGCCTCCCTGAATACCCCAAACACCTAATAAAGACTGAAGGAAGGAAGTAGGCAGAACAGGATTATGGGGCAGGACAATGGCGTCAGTTAAGGAAGAGCAAAGAGCAGGTAGCTGTATGGCCTGGGGCAAGTCATTGGACCTCCTTGTACCTCAGTTTCTTGACTTGTAAAATGAGGAGGTTGGACTAGACACCCTTTAAAGGCCCTTACAGCTCTAAATCTATGCTCTTATAATCCCTCAAAGTACCTTGTACAAAATAGGTTTTAATCAAATATTTGCTGAATGAATAAATGACACAAGAAAAGTAAATCATTAAATTGAACCATTAATACCTTACCTTGGAGTAGCCTATTAGATAAATTTTGTTGTTCAGTCATATCTGAATCTTCGTGACCCCATTTGGGGTTTTCTTGGCAAAGATACTGGAGTGGTTTGCCTTTCCTTCTCCAGTTCATTTTACAGTTGAGGAAACTGAGGCTTGCCCATAGTTACACAGATGGTATGGAGGCCGGATTTGAATCAGGTCTTCCTGACTTCAGCCCAGCACTGTGCCACCTAGCTGCTCTATTAGTCAAACCAACCAGTCATAAATCATAGATTCAGACCTTGAAAGAACCTGAGAGCTTGTCTAGTCCAACCCCTTCATTTTACAGATAACCATCTCATTTTGCAGACAAGGAAACTGAGGCCCAAAGAGGTGAAGTGAATTATCCAAAGCTGTACTGCTATTATGAAGTAGATCTGGCATTTGAACCTAGATGTTCTGGCTCCAAATCCAGTCCTCTCTCCATTGTACCACAATGCCTTCTGTAGACATAGTGATATAACCTATCACCACAGTCAGGACTGGGATTGGTTGCCAGGCAAACAGATTCCCTTCATCCTCTTGCTCATTCTCCACGAAATGCCTTTGGTGGAGGCACTTCTTTTCCTCCTCTTCTTTTCCTCTTTATATGCATTTTCAAATGCAGATTTTCAACTGTAACAAGGGACTAGTCAACAAGGGTTCAATCCTGGGAACATACATTTGTGGTAAGCCTGCTTCTGGAATTTTGTGATGACATATAATGTAGGGAGAGGGGAGGCCTGGCTTTCTACTTCAGAGAAAGTATAGGCATTCTCAATGTCCTCTATGTGCACTTCAAGGTGAAGCAAGAAAAAGCTCTTTTGGTGGATTACTCAGCTGGAACTGAAAGTACATACAAAAAGCCCCAATGTAGAAATGTGCTCTCTTTCTCAGTAGTGATGGGGGATATAATTGCTGTAAGTGTTTGGGTGGGGAGAGCATCAGAAGCCTACTGTCCGTCCCCAAGCAGACATGAAAGCATAAATACATGGCATCGTTATTTTTCTGGCCTTGTTTTGTTTCATTCCTTTCTGCTCTTAGGTAAATGAGTGTTGGTGATGGACAAACTAAGCTACTACCTTGTGAGCTTTGACAAGTCAAAGAGCACCATACCAGAGTTTCCCAGCAGCCAAACCTAATAAAGAGTACAGCCCTGAGGAGTGACTTGTGAGGAGTGACCAGCCAAACAGTGGGTATGAGATCTGTCCCACAAACAAGGGAACTATTCTGTTCGTGTGGGGTGCCACATTGAGAAGTGACCTTGGTGATGGGAAAGCTTTGTAATGACCACTTTAAAATTGAGCTCACTCTCCCCAGGCACTGAAATGTTATAGAGGAAAGTATACCCCATGGTATTAGGGGGAAATGCTTTATAACCTCTGTTTTTGCTATATCTTCTCAGGAAATATCCTTTTGCAAAAGGTAATTGAGGTTAATTAGTTAAATGATAGTGAGCCTAATCGCTAAGTTAGTCAGTCAATGATACTGAAGAAATAACTAGTCATTGATATTGGGAAGAACACATCAGAATGTGGACTGGATCCAAGAGCATTTGAAGACACCCCACAACCCCTGTGGGGTACCACCATACAATCCAGAGATATAATTAGCTATACTCTGGGGACTCCATTTACCAGTGCAAGTGAGAATTGAAATAAGGGCCCTCCCCACCCCACAAAGTCTATATGTACACTACATAATTGTAAGAAAATGTCAAGTGTCCGGTGACGGGGGCAGGAAAGAGTCTTATTGGTGCATGGTACTACTCCTACTATATAAATGTTGGAAAAACTCTATTTTCAATGGAAATTATGTCTGAAAAAGTGCTTTGGAAAGTGTAACTATAGAAACATAATGGATTATAATGAGGAGATAGAGAAGTTCTGAAGGAACTAGTGGTAGAGTCAACAGAGCACAAGACCTGGGTGAAGGAAACAAGTTCAAATCTGGTCTCAGATACTACCAGCTATTTGACTCTGGACAAGTCACTGAATCTTTGTTTGTTTCAGTTTCTTCTGGACAATTATAGCCCCTTCCTCCCAGAATTGTTGTGAGGATCAAATGACATAATGTTTATAAAGTGCCTTGCAAACCTTAAAGTGCTAAACAATTGCTACCATAATTAATGAGTAAAGAAAAAAAAGTATTTTCTGTGAAACCTTGGGCTCATAACCCACACCACATCCTGTACAAGGTAGGAAATGTATATGTGTTGTCTGCAGCTGTTTTTGCACAGTTAGGTAAAACCTGATGGCATTGGGGATACCATTATGGATTTGACATCCCAAATGATAGAGTCAGCAGCACCCCAACCCTGAAAAACCACTGGTTGCAGCTGGTGAGAAATTCCAATGCCACAATTGCAAAAACAACTCAAAACACATCACGTACAGATGGCAAGCCAGTCAAGTTATCCTCATGGGCAGCAACTAGCATCGATTGAAAAATATGAATGCTTGTTAAAATTAGTAAATCGTTGGGCCTGAGGTGGTAGCTTCCTAGTAATAAACTGATAATTGTTGATACGCTCATCTGCACACATACCCACAAACAGAGAGAGAGAGAGAGGGAGAGAGAGAGAGAGAGAGAGAGAGAGAGAGAGAGAGAGAGAGAGAGAGAGAGAGAGAGAGAGAACTGCTTAAAAAAAATTTTTTTTAATACTGACTGCCTCATCATTTGGTGTTTTCACTCCTATACCCAAAGCAATACCCTTTCTAACTGACAGGCCATTGGCATAAATATTGCAGTGTTGCTCAGTAATATTTCTGACTTGGAACTAACAAAGACAATTTTTATTTTAAAAAGATAAGTTACATAAGGAACACAAAACTCAAACAGACAAACCAAGCCATAAAAGTTATGGCAGAAAATAAACATTCACATGACTTCTTTTACTTGACTTTCCCTACAAATGAAATGACAACCAGCCACAGATTATAGGCAGGAGGTAAATATTAAAGAGCAATAGGAGCAGCAGCCACATAAAGTCCCTCAGTTTCGGGGGAAGTGCATTAAGAAAAGAGCGTGCACTCCTCTATCTTTTCTAATGATTCTTCTCCAGGCAAAGTGCAGCTCCTAAAGTTCTTTATGGGCTCTTCCTCTATAAAGCTTTAATGAGCCTGAGTCTCTCTTGGAGTGGGCAGGGAGAAAGGAAAAATGTTATAAAAGGTACACAATGACACCAAAAGTAGTGAAAGGGTACTATCAGCCAACATATGTCATAACTGCGGAACAGTGCCAAAGCAGTGTCTCTTTGCCTTGTATGCAAGATTGGCCTCATAGGATATAGTTGTGATCTGAGGTAATTGCAATGACTATTTCTTGATTTTAAATATCTGCCCCACAGTCTTTCATGGCCTCTGGAATTCCTGCTGTTAAGATACACTTTGGTGGTGTGACCTTGGACAATTCACTTAATCTGTCCCTCTCAGTTTCATTATTTATAAAATGGGGGTGATTATAGCCCCATCCTCCCAGGGTTGTTATGAGGGTAAAATGTAAAGTGCTTTGTAAGCCTTAAAATGTGATATAAGATATAAATGCTAGCTGTTATGATTCATCATCATCACCATCATAGGTCCCAGGTACCTGAGTATCTTAACACCTAGCACAATTCTTGACTCATAGTAGATGCTTCATATATGTTTGTTGATTGATTAGTTGAATAATTCAAGAATATGAGATTTCACTGGTGTGACTACTCCCTCTACCTATGCATATCATAAAATCCTTCTATCATATAGTAAAATGTCTTTGCAATTTCCTGCAGTTAAAAATTCAGTGTCAGAGGAGAGGATCAAGGGAGGTATATAGCAGAGATGTTTGGAAGGTCGAAGCAATAGGATTTGGCCACTGAGTGGATATGGGGAAGGGTGAGAAACAGTGAGGAATTTAGGATGATACCTGGTTTTTGAGATTGAGTGACTTGGGAGGATGGTGGTGCCCTCAACAGTAATAGGTAAGTTAGAAGAGTGAAAGGTTTGGGTAAAAACTTTAATGAAGAGCTCAGTTTTGAACATATTAAGTTTAAGATGTCTATGTGATACCCAGTTTGAGATGGCTAGTAGGAAGTTAATGCTTTTGGTATACATTACAGCTCATCCAAAAGCTTTTCCTCATTGTGTTGTAAGACAACGAGAAACAGTCACATAATCCTTGTGAATGTTCTGAAGGATGGGTCAGGGCCCTCTGCTGTGCTTTGCCCTTATTGCTCCTTGAACAATCTTGTGGGTTATTAGGCAGAGCAAACTGAGCCCCCTCTGAAGTGAAAGAGCTGCCTCTCTCCCCCAATTCCATAACACATTCTTCCAGAAGCAGGCTCACCAAACATCTACATGAGACTCCAACACTTCCTCCTAGGCTAAGACTGGATCCTCATTGACCCATTACCTGTCTCATGGGTTCGATATAGAGGCAATCCCTTTAATCATGAACTACTGAAAAAATTCATAGAAATAGTCCAAGTCTTTTGCTTTTCCATGTTGCTGCTTATTCTTTTCGATGCTCTGAAATACTTCATTCCCCAACTCCAGGCATTCTCTCTGGCTGTCCTCCATGCCTGTAATGCTCTCCCTCATCATCTCTGCCTCCTGGCTTTCCTGGCTTCCTTTAAGTCCCATCTAAAATTCCACCCTCTAAAGGAAGCCTTTCCCAATCCCTCTTAATTCTGTAGTCTTCCTTCTGTCGATTATTACTCATTTTTTTCTGTATATAGTTTGTTTGTTCATAATTATTTACATGTTGTCTTCTCTGTTAGATTGTGAGCTCCGGAGCAGAAATTGTCTTTTACTTTTTTTTATCCCTTGTACTTAGCACAGTGTCTGGTATACAATAGGTGCTTAATAAAGGTTTACTGACTAATTGCTTTTCCACCTCTGTAGATCATACAACAACCCAAGAGGTTGGTATTGCTCAGGAATTCCTTTCTCTTTCTAGAAGGCTAGACCTCCCCACCCCCAAAGTCTTGAACTTGGGTTTGCAAATAACCCCATTTTTATAGGACAGCAAAGAGGCATGGTTCTCAGTTGTAGCAGCATAAGCCAATCAATTTATCCTCAATTGATGAGATACAATGGGAAGTGCCAAACAAAATCTCACTGTCATACTCAAATTAATTAGAGAACTACCCTAATCAACCCTCTATATATAATAATAGTTAACACTTATATAGTGACTACTATGGGCCAAGCAAAGTGCTTAGCGCTTTACAAATATTATCTTATTTAATCCTCACAACAACCCTGGGAAGCAGGTGTTATCATTGTCCCCATTTTACAGTTGAAGAAACTACAGATAGATATTAAGTGACTTGCCTAGGGTCACACAGCTAGGAATAATTTGAGGCTGGCTATGAACTCAGGTCTTCCTGACTCCAATCCAGTGCTCTATTGACTGTGCCTCCAGCTGTCTTTTATAGATGAAGATGACATTTGTGGCCCACATGTGGGAAGTTTTAGAATTTTTTTCCCCTTAAGCAATAGGGGTGGTTTTGAACTGAGTCATCCATCCTCTTCTGAATGGGTGGATTTGCTTAGATGGTAAGTAGAAGCTAAAACTTGATTCTGGGGCCATGCAATAAGGCAAAATTAACTGGTTCAAATAGAGGAATGCCAGAAAGGAAAATGATGAGGGAAAGAGCCATAAATCTTACTGGCAACATGGTAAGATGGAAAAGATAGAGTCACAGAGAAGTCAGAGATCCTGGGTTCAAAACCTCCTTCTAATGCTTGTATGACCTTGGGTTTAACCTTCTTCAGTTTCCTCAACTGAAAAATAAAGAAGTTGGACTAGATATACTCTGAGTTCCCTTCCAGCTCTAGAGCAATGATCCTATGATTCTTTCCCTGTCATACTAACCTTCGATTAAGTCTAATTAATAAATAAATTTCCTTAGGTAATCCTGAGTCAGGGAATCAAAGTCAGATTTTATTATTTATTTTCTTTTTTATTTTTTTGGCTAGGCAGTGGAGTTAAGTGACTTGCCCAGGGTCACACAGCTAGTAAGTGTTATGTGTCTGAGGCTGGATTTGAACTCGGGTCCTCCTGAATCCAGGGCTGGTGCTCTATCCACAGAGCCACCAGCCACCTAGCTGCCCCTGAAAATCAGATTTAAAGAGAAGAAAAGAATGAGTAGGTCAGGGAATGAAGAAACAAAGCAGAGTGGGATAATGAAGGAAATCTATACCTTTAAGTA